AAAATGGCCAGTTAGCATCAGCAAGAAATGTAAATCAAAACTACAATGAAATACTACTTCACACCCACTAGGTTGACTATAAAGAAAAAGTGTAATAAACAGATTGGTGAGAATGCAGGGAAACCGGAACCCTCATGCTTGTGGTGCAGCTACTTTGGAAAACTGTAGTTTCTCAAACGATGAAAGAGCTTACCATAGGATCCAGCAATTCAACTAGGTATGTACCTAAGAGAAATAAAAACACATGTCCATGCAAAGACTTTATGAGTATTATTAACCATAATAATAAAAAGGTAGAAACACCAGAAATGTCCATCACCTGATGAATAAGTAACGTGGCAGTATCCATACAATGGAATATTATTCAGATGTAAGAAGGAATGAAGTACTGACACATGCTACGATATGGATGAGCCCTGAAAGCATTATGCTAAGGAAACCAGTTATAAAAATCATGTATTTTAGGATTCTATTCATATGAAATGTCCAGAATAGCCAAATTTATACAGACATGAGAGTAGAAGAGGTTGCTTAGGACGGGGGTAGGGATGTGGAGAGGGGGAAGCAGGGCAGTAAAAGCTAAGTGTACTAGGTTTCACTTTGAAGATGATGAAAATGTGAAAATGGTCTAAAATTGAGTGGTGATGGCTGTCCATATCTGAAGAGACAAAAAACCACTTTTTAAATGGGTGAATTGTATGGTATATGAATTACATCTCAATTTTTAGAAAAGTGGATTTCTTCCTGTCTTTTTTTTGTGACCACCGGGAGACTTCCCTCTTCCAGTGGCATGACAGACAAAAAGAAAAACTTGGAAGCTCTTTTCTTCTCTGTGCACCCTCCAATGTGCAGTCCCTTTCTCAATGTCCTATTGCTTCAGGAAAACCCAGGTATTAGGAATTGTAGTTGGGAATTCAGCACTCACTCACTCTGCCCTAGTTTTGTAATTGGTGTTAAAAACACCTGTAGAGGTAGTCAGCATGCAGGAGGATCACTGAAGTGAGCCCAAACATCAGAGACTCAGACTGGCGTGGGTAAAAGAAAATTTTGCAGGTCTGAGGAACACTGGTGAGAGCCAGGAATCAGACTCCCATCACCAAACAAGACCCTAAGTGGCAGTGAAATCAGGCACACCTCACAAGCCTTCATTCTCATTTCTCAGATTAAAGCTAATATTTATATCCTGCTCATACTCTCACCTCAGTAAAGACATTTGTCTCAGGACAGCTTCCTGAGATACCTGTCATGCATAGTAATCTACCATTACACAGCAGAATGCAGACAGAATTGAGAGGCTTTAAAAACTTTGTTTGGTCTTCAGGACAAAACTAGAGAACTCTGAGCCTGGCTATCAGAAAAAGTAAGGTCTGAAATCCTTTGAAACTGGTAGGGAATTAAAAAAAAATTAAAGGTGTAAATGGATTTTATTTTACATATTGTAGAGAGGAATGATCTAATTAAGTGGCAGATAATGCTTACTGTTAAGAACATAACTTGTGAAAACAGGATGTTTTCTTTGTTAATAATTTTAAAATGAGAGAATACTTTTCTTTCAAGCTTGTTCCAGGAAAATTTGCAGTAAAAAAGCATCCTTAGATAACTTGTTTTAAAGGACACAATGTGGTCATAAGCAATTCTTCAAATTTTTCCAAGATGCCTACGAAAAAGTCACTGAAGACCTAGAATCCATGATCCTAAAAGTTTCATTATCTACTAATGTGTTACAATACCATAAGGCAATTCTTGTGACATCACAGTGGTTGCACATTTACATGGTTAACTATTCTTACCTATTCATTTGATATGTAATTATTAGGAAGCTTTATGCCATAAGAATTAATAACAGGGACTTCAGTCAAGATGGAGGTGTAGGTAGGCATGCTTTGCCTCCTCCTGCAACCGTAGAAAGAATTACAACTAGATCAAACAACCAAGGATTTAAAAAAGCCATCTTCATCCAGTTGGGTAGGAGAGGTGGAGTCAGAAGACTGGAGGAGGGGCAGAAATGCGGTGTGGTACAGAGAAGCTGCAGCAGCAGAGAAATGTCCCAAATTCATGTATGATGGATAAAAATTGGGAGGGATACCTTGGAAATGAGCAATCCCAGCCCCAGGCCAGACCATACAGCCCAGGGTTCCAGCACTAGGACAATAAATCCCCATTACTTTTGGCTGTAACAACCAGTGGGGAAGGGGGCAGAAGAAACTGCTGGGAAGACTCCATTTAAAGGGCCCACACAGACATAGAACGTATGTAAACCCAACCACTCTGGTATTCACCACTAGGGCAACAGCTAGAAGGGTGCCAGTCGCATATGGGAAGTGGGTGAAGTGACTGGAAATAGGGGCAAGTGTCAGGCAAACCTCCAGAGGCCAGGCAGCGGCTCTGCCCCCTTTCCTTGCCCTCCCCTGACACAGAGCCACAGAGCCACAGAGCCACAAAGGGGTCAAGTGGGTTGCCCAACCCTGATGATTACCTAAGGCTCTGCTACACACAATTTACTGGTGCCTTTTCTACAACAGGCCAAGCTACTAAGACAGGGATTCAAAGTGGCTCTACCTGATACACAGAAACAAACACAGGAAGGCTGTCAAATTGAGGATACAAAGAAATATGGCCCAAATGAAAGAACAACAAAACTGCAGAAAAAGAACTAAACAAAATGGAGATAAGCAACCTATCAGCTGCAGAGTTCAAAACAGTGGTGATCAGAATGCTTGAAGAACTCACTGATATGGCAACAACATAAAGGAAGAAATGAAGGTGACATTAAGTGAAATAAAGAAAAATTTACAGGGAACCATCAGTGAAAGGGAAGAAGCCAGGATTCAAATCAATGATTTGGAACATAAGGAAGAAATAAGCATTCAACCAGACCAGTAAGAAGAAATAAGAATTCAAAAAAACAAGGATAGTATAAGGAGCCTCTGGGACATGTCTAAACGTATCATCATCTGAATCATAGGGGTGCCAGAAAGAGAAGAGGAAGAGCAAGAAATTGAAAACTTATTTCAAAAAATAATGAAAGAACTCCCCGAATTTGGTGAAGGAAATAAACATACAGTCCAGGAAGTACAGAGTCCCAAAAAAGTTGGACCCAAAGAGGACCACACCAAGACACATCATAATCAAAATGCCAAAGGTTAAAGGTAAAGAGAGGATCTTAAAAGCAGCAAGAGAAAGCAGAGAGTTACCTACACAGGAGTTCCCATTAAGACTGTCAGCTGATTTTTCAAAAGAAACTTTGCAGGCTAGAAGGGATTGGCAAGAAGTATTCAAAGTGATGAACAGTAAGGGTGTAAAACCTAGATTACTCTATCCAGCAAAGCTCTCATTTAGAATGGGAGGGCGGATGAAGTGCTTCCCAGACAAGGTAAAGCTAAAGGAGTTCATCATCACCAAGTCACTATTACATTAAGTGTTAAAGGGACTTATTTAAGAAAAAGAAGAGGATCAAAACTATGAACATTAAAATGGCAACAATTTCACAACTATCAATAACTGAATCTAAAAGAAAAACAAAAAAAACCTAAGCAAACATGCAGAACAGGAACAGAATCATAGATATGGAGATCATTTGGAGAGTTTTATCAGCTGAAAGGGGGAAAAGGGAGAAGTGGGGGGTGCGGGGTGGGGCAAGGCCCAGTGATTAAGAAGCATAATTAGTAGGTACAAAAGAGATGGGGAGGTTAAGAGTAGTATAGGAAATGGAGAAGCCAAAGACCTTATATGCTCGACCCATGGACATGAACTAAGGGGGGGATTACTGGAGGGAAGGGGGACACTGAGAGGATGAGGGCAAAGGGGGAAAAACTGGGACAAGTGTAATGGCATAATCAATAAAATATATTTAAAAAATTAATAATAGTGTATTTGTATTAAAAGGGGAAGCACAGATTTTTAAAATGCATAATTGGTTTATAGTTCAAATTTTGGCTATGACATTTTGGATGTTACTTTATACCTCTTTTTTTTTTTAACATAACATGGATAATGTCACCTCATTTTTATGGGGTTGCTCTAAAGATTAAATGACAATTTATATGAAGTGCCTGGAATAACACCTGATACATAAAAAACATAAGAGATGTTATTTTCCTTTGATTAAAAGTATTTGCAATAAAAAGTTGAGTATCTGGCCTCTGGTTGAATGTAGCACCTTTATACTATTTTTTCCATAAGAATATAACATTTGATATATGTTTAAAATATCTTTTTCATGCAGACTATGGGCTAAAAAATCAGAGTAATTTATTCTCTGTATCTATGAGTCTATTTTTGTTTTGTTTATTTTGTTCTTTATATTCCATACAAGAGAAATTATACTTGTCTTTTTCTGTGTGAATTATTTCACTTAGCATAATACCCTCTAGATCTGTCATGTTGTTGCAAATGGTAAAATTCTTCCTCTTTTTATGGCTGAGTGCTATTACATTATATATATGTACATTTTCTTTATCCAATCATCTATTGATGGGCACTTAATTTGCTTCCATTTCTTAGCTGTTAAAAATGCTGCAATGAACACAGGGTGCATATATCTTTCTGAATTAGTGTTTTGGATTTCTTTAGATATATACCCAGAAGTAGAGTTGCTGGGTCATAAGGTAGTTCTGTTTTTAATATTTTGAAAAACCTGTATAATGTTTTCCATAGTGGCTGCCTGCACCAATTTGCAATCCCACAAGGTAAAAAGGTGAAGGTTTTAAAAAGTACAAATGGTAGTTACAAAAATAGTCACAGGGATTTACAATATAGCTTAAGGAATGTAGTCAATGATATTCTAATAACTATACATGGTGTCAGATGGGGGATTACTTTCTAAGTTATATAAATGTCTATCCACTATGCTGTATAGCTGAAACTAACATAAAATAACACTGAATGGCAACTGTAATTGAAAAATTTTAAAAAGAGTAATTTAAATTTTTCATAAATTTAAATAAAACTTAAAATAAAGTTTGAAAACATGTTTTGTACCTGAGCAGCTACTTTATTACCTTTATATCCTTTATTTTCTGCTTTTCAAAATTGTCAATAGTTTCCTCCAGGTGACGAGTTGTTCGGGTAGCATCCATTGTAGCTCTCTGTAATTCCGTTTCTGCCTACCAAAGTATTGCCCAACAAAAGATATTAAAAAAGTAAGTCAGAATCCATTCATTTGAGTCTATTTGCTTTTTGGCATAATAGTGTCAATGTCTGATAATATTTTTGCCACATAAAATAAAGTGATCTATATTACAAGCACATGCAGAATAAAGAATGTTAAATCTATTAAATGACATGACTCATGATCTCAAACAAAAGAAAACAAAACTTCTCCCTTTCTTTCTACAAAATCATTTTTCCCCTACATCACCCTTGGATGATTTACTACAAAACATTGTCTGTATTTTTCTACAGCTTTCACCTATTTCTCTGTCTGTGCCATTTATCATACTACTCTTTTTTTCCTTAACATTTCTTGCCCCTTTAACCCTTTCTCCCCCCAAAATAAAGGGCCTGTGATTTTAGTATTTTCAAACCTCTAGTTCTTCAAATGCATTAAATGTTTCTAAGTTTGTAATATATAGAGTAGAATATAAACTACAAAAGTTTCAGCATTGAGTTTCTATTTGTATATTATAAGCTAACAATATTATGCTATTTAGTTAATATTTATTATAAGAAATATATATACTACTAAATTAGATGACAAGCCTAATACTTCATGTACTCTAATAAGTATTCATACTATCTGGCCACATGTGGCTATTTATTCTTAATTAAAATTAAATGAAAATTAAAAATCTGGTTTCTTAGTTACTCTAGTCACATTTCAAGAGCTCAACAGCCATATATAGTTAGTTGATACAGTACTGTACAATGCAGAACACTTCCAATTTAATCATGTATTTCTTTTAAAAAAGCAAGTCTTTCTTTAGGACAATAGCATAGATATTTAAGATTTTTTTTTTGTTGTTAAACAGTAACAGATATTAAAAGCCCAATTTTCTGATTCATTTCTTTCTAATAAAGTTTTATTTCCTATGCTAGTACTCTATTTTCTGAAAAGTATCACACATCATCATTTAATAGTTAATCCATGGGAAAAATCCGCATCTGTCATCAATGTTTTTGACACATAATATTCTGACACTTAGCCCTTGCTTTCTTTTTCAAGAAAAAGTAAAAATAAGTAAAATGGTTTACTCTAAGGATCCATCTCGACACACCATTTTATTCCCCACCTGTGACTGAAATTCTTCATAAAGGAAAAAATACATTTCAAAGAGAATAATTTTTTCAATAAATTAAAATCATGTACTCTTACAATTAAATTATACATTAATTATAACTGTATACTGAATATATACTCTGACAGTTAGGTTAATTCAAGCACAATTTCACGATATTAAGCATTTAAAAATACATTCTTTTATACCTGTGTGTGTGTGTGTAAGCTTTCCATAAAAGGTGTAAAGTTTTTAAAAACCATATAAACTTTTAACTTTGATCATACCTAGTAATTAAAAAATCTCTATATTACTGGATTGGGGATTTTTAAAAAACATAACTTCACAGGAAATTCAAAAGTAAAATAGCGCTTCTTTGGAGGTCCATTAATATGAAAACATTTCTTACAGTTATTTGATGCATGTTCACATTTTATTATTAATGAGTTTCAAGCAGACTAATTTTTTTTTAAAGATTTTATTTATTTTTAGAGACCGAAGTGAGGGAGAACGAGAGGGAGAGAAACATCAATTGGTTGCCTCTCACAGGTCACCATCTGGGGACCTGGGCCCACAAACCAGGCATATGCCCTGATTGGGAATCAAACCAGTGACCTTTTGGTTTGCAGGCTGGCATTCAATCCACTGAGCCACGCTGGCCAGGGCCAGACTCATTTCTTAATACTGTTTATTACATGTGATGCATGCAATTCTTTACTTGCGAATATTTTCTTTAGATTTCTATGTCTTTCCCCTCTCCATTTATCAATAGGTTCATTTTAAATTTTGGAAGGGTAGGCAAATTTGGCTAAACTAGGAACAAACGGGGAAGCAGAAGTGATGGCTGGTACATGGGTATTTTAATCTACCACCTTCCAGCAGCTATTCTCCCTTTCTTAAAGTCTCAAATCCTTTTATTCCAGCATAGCATCATGCCCAAAGTTACACAGCTATTTTTAACAAAGAGGATATAAGATTTGTTTCTTCCTTTTGTTGAAAATTCTATAATGTAACAATTTAGGAAATGGTTTTGATTAAAATACTACATGACTTTATGAATGTCAGCATATTTAATAAAAGTACTCGTAAGTACAAAATGGCTTATGAAAGGATGAGCCAAACTGATATTTTTCCAATTGTGTTACTGGCAGCTTGTTCAGAAGCTGCCAGGGATTTTGGGGGGTGAGGAGGCAGAACCTGGGGATTCTTCTTTATCTTACTCTCTTGTACTAGAACCACTCCATTTTATTGTACCATACTTTGTGTTTAATGCGCACCCATGTTTTTTGTCCAAATTTTCACGAAAAAAAATCTTTTGTTTTAATTAAATTTATTTATTTATTTATATTTAGAGACAAAGCTGATTATCGTATTTCAGGGTATTATTTTGTATATGGACACTGTTACTGCTTTCTAGAGTTACACTTCTAACACATAAGCATAACTAAAAGAATTAAAAACATTTATATAGATATGGAATTAATACCACCCATATATACTGCAAATCCTTATCTTTCCCTCAAAAATTTGGTCAAAAAAGTGTGCAATATACACACCAAAATACAGTACATATTGAACTTTAATGTGCTCCTTTGAACAGATGAATTTTAAGGGCCTATCCTGGTAAATATTCTATAATGTTATGATTGAATATATTTACATCAAATACACTTATATATAGATTGTACATTGTTTTCTTGTCTCAGGTTGTCAAAATCCATTGGCTTCACAGATGTTTCTTCCCAGTGAGCATAGCAATTCACCCATAGCAATAAGCTATTCCATTCTTGCATCCCCCCCACCCATATAAATCTGTAGACCTGCTTCATTTATGATATGACTACTTCTTCCACAGCAGTGTTTAAAAAGTGGCATCTAACTCAGTAACATCTTTGTTTTAGGAACAGATTCATTTCTGTGTTGAGTGCGGATACTAATATCCTTCATTCAACCTTGCCAACCATGCAGGATTCCAGATGTGACATTTGCTTCTGCCTTTAAATACTCTTCTATAAACAAAACAAAAATTTGACCTCTGTCTTAATTCTTAAAAACCGGTGACATTCCCTGGCCTCTGCCTTAGTCCCTATTTGTCAGTCACAAATTTTCCATTATTCTCTGGTTTGTCTGACTTACTTAAAAATCTAGACTTTATAATATCCAGTTTGTAGATCTTAAGCCTTCTACTGTCTAGATGTTCCTGTTCCAGCCTGTGGCTGCCCGTTTTGTTTTTTTTTTTTTAATTACAAGGTTGGGCACATGTACCTTTGGTCCAAAGGAAGGAGGACCAGGCAATTGGCGTAGCCCCAAATCACTGCTCAAGAGATTCACCTCAGGAATGGAGGTGCTCTGGAACCTCAAATGCCCCCAAAGAGCTACTCCTCATGTGCCTTCTGGCTGAGCTGGGCAGTAAAAACCTTAAGGAGGTAGAAGGAAACATAAAAGAATGGGAAAAAGAGGCAGTGGGATGAGTTAGTACTTTCAATGCAATTGTATCTATCCCCGTTGCTGGCAATTAGCCAGGCACTATTTTCTATTCTTGTGTTTGGTCAAGAACAAGGCAAAATCCACTTTAAGAAAGTTATTTTTAACAGAAGAACTTTGTTACTTTATAGTAGATACTCCCACCTACATCACTTAGTGTCCAAGTGTGGCTCAATTATACTCTTGAGTCTTCTCATGGTTTTGGCTGTAAATCATAATTGTGGTTTCACATAGTGTTTTGTGTGTTTGTTTTTTAAGATTAAGGGAATTATACTGGCAACAAAGTTTCCTTCCTGTTCTCAAAAGCAGGACAGATAGCAATTGCTAAAATACAAATAATGATACATCTTTAGTTTTATAATTAATATTTAGTCATGTGAAAAAAACCTCAGAATTTTGAACTTTTTATAAAAACACCTTACATTTATGACTTTTATTTTTTAATATATTGTGAAAAACAATATAAGGGGACTGCATTAAGTGGTGTATTTTAAGTTCTCTAAATTCCAGTGAGAATTCATAAATGCATGTTTCTTTTCAACCTTTATATTCAAATTCTCTGCCCATTTAAAAGTAGAAATGCATAATTTCCATATATATTTACTTTTGTACTGCATACCTTACAAAATGTTTTTTGAAAGACCAGAATTCAAAGGATACAATAACATGTCGGTCAGATGGGTTTCGTTGACGTGTTCTTTCTAACTGAGTTAACTGTTTAGCTTCTCGATTCCTTGCTGTTAATGTTGCTTTGAGGTCATCCTGCGAAAAGGCATTTTTTTTTTTGTTAACAATAATCTGTGATTTTAGAAATAAAATACACACACTCTGTCTTAAGAATGGGAGAATCTTCTTGTTCAATCTGGACATCATTACCACAGGAATTACTCTGTGTGATCAGTGTGGATCTTTGTGTGTAAGAGTGCACACATGTTTCTTTAATATCCTCAAAATAAGGACATAGACAAGATAATTTCAATGTAAAACTATAACCATGCAAAAACAAAACGTGTCTACATATATATAATTTTGATTGTGGCAGTACTTACATGTATCTATACATTTGTCAAATTCAATGAAGACTTAAAATGGGAGAATTTTATTACATGTAAATCATACCTCAATAAAGTTGATGTAAAAAATAGAATTTTGAGGATGTAATGTACAGCATGGTTATGATGACAGTTAACAGTACTGCACTACATATTTGAAAGTTGCTAAGGGAGTAAATAGATCTTAAAGTCCTATTCACACAAAAAATTCTGTATGTATGGTGACAGATGTTAACTAGACTTCTTGTGGTGATTATTTCACAATTTATACAATTAGTTATCATTATGTCATATGCTTGAAACTAAAATGTTATATCAGTTATTCCTCAATTAAAACATAAAACTTTGTCACACTTATTTTTAGACTGTGTTATTACCTGCTTTAAAATAAAAGTATAAACTCACATTTATTTAGTAAAATAATTTCTGGCCATACATTCTTCATGACTATAAATGTTAAAAGTATTCACAATAAACAAAATAATGCTTTATCTTGCTACAGTAGTACACTTAGTAACCTCGTTAAAAATATTTCATTTTTCTCAATGTAAGAAATGATGACTCTTCAGAGTGCGTAAAAAATGAAAAGACACTTCTTTGTACTTTTTATTAAAAGAACAATTATTGGAAAACTTATACTCTAGAATACCTAATAGAAAAGTAATGAATTTACTTACTCGTTTCATTTTTACAATGGTTCCATAAGCTTTCAATGGTTCAACTACTTTGGCTTCAAGTCTTTCAACCTATTGGAAATTATTATAAAATATAACTGAAAAGAAACATAGATCAAAATTTTAATTTTGAAATAAAATCTGTAATGTTTAACCTGTATAATATGTTAAGCATATTACACAGACTAATTTATAAAAATTTTAAATTAAAATGTCACAGTTCAACCTATCTTCAATAATCACAATTGGTAAGACTCAATCTAAACTTAAACACATTAAAACTGTTAAGCTGTTCAGCAACAAAACGGAAAAGACCTGTTGCCCATATGACAAGAAAATGTCTCAGGTTTCGAAAGAGCTCATCCTTACCATATTACTCCATTATTACTTTTGTACCTCAAAGACTCAGCTATTGGGATAAGTTTTAAGACATCTCAAACTTTAAGTTACCACTTTGAGTGTTTATCTCAGTGTTGGATACTTTGAATATATATTCGCCAGAGTATAATAGCCCAACCTTCCAGACAAGCAAAGCTGAAATATACAGCATATGGGAAATATTTAAAGCAACACAATCCTCAAAATCAAGAATGCTTAGAGACCACTATATTAGCTGCATTTTTTTTGCGGGTGCTGGGGGAAAGCTATTCATAAATTATCAAAGCATAGAGAACAAGAAAAATAGTCTCAAGCATTCCTGAGCTGTCTGTGTGGTTGAGCTTTCTTTTATTTAGAATTAAACAGTTTTTTTGAACATTACAATTTTTTTTAAATCACATTATTAGGTAATTCTTTTACTAATAGCACTTGTGGAAGACACTGAAGAAGTGGATTTTTTTAAGGAAATGTAGGTTTTTAGATTTGAGAGTATTTTATTTTAATATCTTTTAAAAATATTTTATTTATTTATTTTTAGTGAGAGGGGAAGGGAGAGGGAAAGAGGGAGGGAAACATGGATGTGCAATTCCCATCAATTGCCTCTCGCAGGACCCCAGCTGGAGACTCAGCCTGCAACCCAGGCATCTGCCCTGACTGGGAATCAAACTAGCAACTTTTCGGTTCACAGGCTGGCACTCAATCCACTCAGCCACACCAGCCAGGGCTGAAATGGATATTTTTTTAAGGCAAGTATATAGCATAAGAAAAATAACTCATTGGCATTAAAATATTCCTTTTCAGGACAGGTAATACAAGAGGACGTGTATTTAACTGTTGAAGAATATGTATTATTTTTGTAGCAGGAAACGGACTTTTTTTTGATGATATGTATTTAAATAATCAGTACATTTCATATTGATTTTTAAAAAATAAAATGTATCTGAATATCTCATTATAAAAGATTTTAGGAAAACAAAGAAAATCAAGTTCTCATTGAGCATTTAACTATTAGGAATCCTGAAGTAAAAACCATCAATACTCAGAATAGTTTAGTCTATACCATTTTGAATAATCCATACACTGATTACTCAGTGTAGGGTTATCCAAGTCTTTTTTCTGTTCTCCTTTTTGTCGCCTACCTTTTGGCCATTGTTCATTAGCACCTCCACAATTTGGTAAGCAAGGGAAATAAAAAGGAGAACAAATGTGAATCAATTCACTTTGCTATTTGGTAAATAGCATAAAGGTTTTCTAGAAAGGGATACTGAAATGATTGATTACCATGGGATTTTAGGATTATTTGTGAATATAAATTATTTCTGAAATAGTAAGTCACCAGTTATGTATAACTGAGAGTTGTTTATTACAGAATACATGACAAAGTTTTCCAAAAAGTACACCCAAATGTAATTAATACTCAAATTTCTGTATGAATAGCAATTATAGGTTCAAAGATCTGTTTTAGGCTTTAGGAAAAAAAAAAAAAAAGACCAAAGCACTAATGAGAAAAGTGCCAAAAGAGCAATGCAGCTGTAATTGGGCAACTTCTGACAAGTTAACCTGTGTCTTGAAACCTAAAATAAATGGTAAGTGAAAGTGCTTATGAGTTATTAATGGAAAAAATGGGCTTTTGGAACGAGAACAATGACATCGACTTCTTCCTCCCCTCCCCCCACCAGCAAAAAAATTCTCTAGGAAGTCTCACTACTTGTTCGCATCCACAATAAAAATCAGTGCTATGCCCCTGCCCCCCACCCCACTAATTTCCCGCAACATGAAGGCAGCAAAGATCTCTTTTCCATTTATTACTTATTCACTCACACAACCATTCCCAACAACTTCCATCTCCAGACGTATTTTATACTTACCTGGCCACAAGGCACAAGTCATGCTCCTTTTCTTTCTCATGGGCACTACGTTTAAGACCCCCTGTAAATAGCCACCCCTTGGCCAAAAGTTGGAAAATAAAATGGGAAAATTCAAGACACTCTGAAGTTTTAGTTTGAAAACAGCAAAATCACAGGAAGCTTCCCTTTAATAGACTCACACAATGTTACAGACATGAAAAGGTAGGTTTATCATCAAGTGTGTGTTCACCACTGAAGATTACAAGTGAGTCTTCACGTTTCCTTCATCCACTACTTCGGGGCTCATTCATAACAATGACGCTGTGACCTCACGCCATACCTCTGCTTGTCGATAATCCTGAAGTTTGGCAAACTCATCAGCAAAGTTTTTCAGACCCTGCTTTAAATTTGGGGTCTCTGTAGAGGCATACACGTTTATTTCATTCACCAGGAGGTCTGCTTTGTCTCGCAGTCTGGCAGTTTTCCGCACATAAGCAGCAAATATTTGGCACAGCTCTCCAAAATGCTTCTCCACATTTGTGACAGCATTTTGCAGTTGTCTGGTTTGAGCGTCCCTAGAGAAAAAGATGACACAAAAAATCTTATTAGGGACAAGATGGCTTCATCTTCACGTTAAATTGATATGCAAATATTCCCTAGGCGTTTTGCAGTTTCTCCCGAAGCGGATTCCCTTTCCCCTAGGTCTCCATTCGGGCCCGGCCTTAATATGCCGACAGTGAAGGCGCACGACGAGGCCCGGCTCCCGCCGCCACGTTGCTGCCGGCTGGCGGCTGCTAGGGCTGCCTAGCCCGGGCGCCGGGCTGCGACCCGGGGCTCGCCGCAGCCCGGGGAGGTAGGCCTAGGCCCCACGGTGCAGCGGGAAGGGACGAGCCGCCGGCCTCGGGTCGAATTCGGCGCGGAGGCCCCACGGAGAGAGATTCTGTTTCCCCCCTCACCAAACCCTAGCGTGAGGGGCACCCTGGGCAGCGGGGGCCCCGGGACTGTTACCGGTTTTCCAAGCTGCGCCTCAACATCTTGCCTCGCGCACCACCGACACCGTGGACTGAGGTCCAACGACCTGCCTCCTCGGGACCCGGGTGTGCGCAGGGGCGCGAGCCTCCGCTGCCGGGGCCCGGGAGCCCGCCCCGCGCGCCGCCGCGTCTTCCCGGAGTTTCTACGGCAACGCGGCGCGCGCCCCCGCGGCCAGCGCTGGAGTCGGAGGGTGCAGCCCCGGCGTCTGGAGCTGGGAGCGGCGCGGTCCAGCGACGGGCGGCGGCGTCCACCCCTAAACTCCCCTGCGCGCCTAGTGCATCTGCACCTCGAGGACGCCGGTCCTGGCTGCTGAAGAGCCGCATGGAACCAGCGCCCTTCGCCAGTCCGTGCGGGCTGGACTGGGACCCGAGGAGGAGAATTCCAAGCCAACCCACCAGAAGCGCAAAACTAAAGGCCAGTGGGGTCCAGTCTCTGCCTATGCGACATTTAGTCTTAGAACATAGGGTCACCTTGTCTGATTCTTCCTGTTGAATCTGAAACTATGGACGCTTGGAAGCTGCATTTGGAAGGAGCAGTGCTTACCGCCTCATCTTTATCTTTTCATTTATTCCGCAAATATTTATCAAGTTACTATTCTGTGGAAAAAAATTGCGCTGGACCCTGGGAATAATTCAAAGATAGTAAGACTCATTCCCTCATCCAGGAGACAGATACTTAAACCGTAACCATACCCTCAGATACAGAACAAACAGGAGACTTGACTTTAACTACCCCTGCACTTTCGTCCCTCTTGGCCTTATCCGTGCTGCTCTTCCGAAGTAAACACCTTTAGGACTATTCAAGCTTCGTCTCTTTCAAGAAACTTCCCCAGACAACTCCCACACTTCCCTCTTCCAGGCAGCCATGGGGCCCCTTACTCTGCAGCATATTCTGTTGATTTTCTCCTGTCTCCCGTAGTCTAGACTTTGAGCTCTTGGAGGCAGAGGAAATGCAATTTTAGTCCTATATTCCTCAGCACCTTGTACTGATCAAAGTTTGTTTTGGACAAATGTATGTCCCCACTTTCGTTCCCTCTCATAGAACTCCTCTTATTCTCTCATGTTACAGTGTATACCTTTCTTCTCCTGTTCTGCTCATTCAGCAAGTTATCTATTGAATGCCTGGTGTATTCCAATTATGCCGGGTCCTGAGCATGGAGTGTTAATTGCGCATCAGAAGAGCCTTTGCTTTTATAGAGCTCAGTCTCTTGGAGGACTAATCAAACACATATATGTAAAATTGCAAATGAGATATATGTTACTGCATCAACTTTTGCTTCATAACAGACCACCACAAAACCTTGTGGAACACAACAGCCTTTTAGTTAACTCAGGATTTTCTGAGTGGGCTGGGTGGTTCTTTTATTATACTTTGGTTCTGCTCAGTGGGACTCTTTCATACAGTTTTGGTCAGCTGGTGGGTCTGCTGGTGGCTAGATGAGCTAGGATGTCCTCACTCAAAGAGGCAAGAGAGGCAACATGTTAGTGGCCACTTTTGCAACATAACACAGGTACTAAGGAAAAGTACATGGTGCCAAGAGACCATGTATTTAATACAGAAGTTTGGTTTGAGCTGCATTGTCAGGGAAAGGACTTCATTGAGAAAGTGACATTTGAGCTGAGATCCAAAGATTGGGAAGGGGCTAATTAGGTGAAGACAGAGGGAAAAACAGTCCAAAGAGTGGGACAGTGTAGGCGAATTGCCCTCCCTCCAACCCCATCCTTAGCTCTATCCAGCTTCTACTTCTCAGAAGGTGGTACCAATCTCTAGCTGATTGTTGTCAAAAAATCTAAGAGACATTCTTCTTTTCCCCAGGCACACTGGCCATTCCTACTTATTGCACCTCCAAAAAATATACATCCTCAATCACTCCTTCATTTCTTCTCTTTTTTTCCCCTTCTTCATTTCTTCTACATCACCATAATCAAAGCTACCATCATCATTAATTTATTGATATGATAAATGTCGATACCATATCAATAAATGATATGATGAAGTAATCTTTATTACAAACCTTTTCACTGGCTTCTCCATGTCCACTGTTACACACTGCAATGCAAAATAAAAAATGTAGATCAGTTCCTTCCAGTCTTTCAAAGCCTCCGCTGACTGAATGTTTGTGTCTCCTCCAAATTCATATGTTAGAATCCTAACCCCTAAGATGATGATATGAGGAGGTGGAGCCTTTGGGAATACTTAAATCATGAGAGTGGAGCCTTCATGAATGGGATTAATGTTCTTATAAAAAGAGAGCCTAGCTCCTTCTGCCATGTTACACTAAGAAGATGGCCACCGAAGAGGATGAGGTTCTTACTAAACACTGACTTTGTCAGCACCATGATCTTGGACTTCACAGCCTCCAGAAATGTGAGAAATAAATTTCTGTTTTCTATATACCACCTAGTTTATGGTATTTTCGTTACAGTAACTCAAATGAACTATGTATGTTTAAAATAAAAATTTAAATTCTTACTCTGGCTATTAAGGCTCTATCTCATTCTTGCCTACCCCCATATGCTCTCTCATTACCACACTGTGATATAGCTATGATATCTTTCTTTCTTTATAAAGAATAAAAAAAATTTTATTTATTTTTAGACAAGGGAAGGGAGGGAGAAAGAGAAGGAAACATCAATGTGTGATTGCCTCTCACATGCCCCCCATTGGGGACCTGGCCCGCAACCCAGGCATGTGTCCAAGGCTGAGAATTGAACCGGCAACACTTTGATTCACAGGGTGGCTCAATCCACTGAGCCACACCACCCAGGACTAATCTCTTTCTTTCTTTACCTAGCATATATCTAGCTCATTTCAGACTCAGTTTTGTGTTTATTGTTTTCTCTGCCTAGAACATACCTTCCTCAGAACAGCGTATAACAGCTAACCCCTTCTTATCACATAGAATTCTGTTTAAAAGACACCTACAAAGTGAGCCTTTCTCTGATCACCTTATTACCATATCACATTGTTTTGTTTCCTCTGAAGCACATGTAATGCTCTTAAATTATTTGTTTGTATGCTATTTCTGTTTCTCATGACTAGAATATATTCTCCATGAGACTAGGCACTTTGATATCTTATTCACATATAATAATATTCCCCATGCCACCACAGTCCTTGACTTGTAGTAGGAACTCAATAATTAGCTGAGTTTATCAGTGAATAAATGAGTTAATGAGTGAAAACCCCATGGCAGAGGGCTCATGATGTGCGTGAGGAAATGTAAGAAAACCAGTGAGGCAGGAGTGGAGGAGGCGGGCATCATGACATGTGATATAGCTGGAGAGGTAGGTAGGGTCTGGTCTTGTAGGACATTTTGACCATGCTAAGAAGTTTGGTCAGAGTTCTCCAGAGAAACAGGGCTAACAGAAAAAGTATATGAGATACTACATCTATGTATACATAGTATACATAGTATACATATACATAGTATACAGATATACAGTTTTATTATAAAAACTTGGCCCATGTGAGTATGGAGGCTAAGTCCCAATGTATGTTGTCAGCAAGCTGGAGACCCAGGAAAGCTCATGGTCCAAATGCCAGTCCAAAAGCTGGCAGGCTCAAGACTGAAGAAGAGCTGATCTTTCTGGCCAAGTCTGAACTCTGGGAAACAAACAAAAAACCAAAAAACCAATATCCCAGATTACACAGCCAGGCAGGAGTTCTCCTTCCTTTGCCTTTTTATTTTGGCTTACTCACTTTGGGGAGGGCGATCTGTTTTACTCAATGTACCAATTCAAACATTAATCTTATGCAGAAACACCCTCTCAAACACACTTGGAATAGTGCTTGGGCAGAAGTCTGGGCATCTTGTGTCCCAATTAAGTTGACACAATTAAACACCATAGTCCTTATCTTAGTATTGATGTGAGTATGTTTCAGCAAGTCATGTAACTCTTACATCTTTTAGCAAATGCCTCATGTATTGGATAGTAATTGTTGAACAAATGTATATTGGATTGTACTTCTTCAATCTCAAACCAATATATGAAATGAATGTGTTCTAGAAACGCTTCTTCTGAGATCTGGGCTCTTTGATCTTACAACAGACATTTTAAAGCATGCATCAACACAACTGTTCTCAAGTCTTTTCACTGCTACTTTCTCCTAGGACACCTCATCTCAGAGAACAAGAGCTGCGAATGGGAAGGCCAAGTCCCTTGGCTAATGTCACATGATGAGATAGTAGGGGGGCTGGACTTAAATCTTTTGTCTTCCCTCTCCAATCTCTTTCCACTGTATCAGAACCAACCTTTCTCTCCCTCTTGCTCTTTCTCTGACTCTCTCTCTTTTTTTCTCTCTCTATCATTTTGATTTTTTTGCAAAGTTCTTAAACAAATGTAAATGTAAGTAAATTACTTTAAGTAGTCAATCAATGCCATTCCTTGTGTAGAATAATGACAAGGTGTGTCCATAATCAGTGAATCATTGAGAATAGCATCCAAATTATTGTTTGGACGCTCTGGGAATTATTGTTTCAGGGTACAAGCAGTATAACCTGATTTTCCAGCAACTTTTCTTAAACAACTACTGACTTCACAGACTTTTTCTTAAACTACTACATGCTATCTGTATTTTTATTGTACAAACAGAGCAATCTTATTTTGCATCACAATAAATGAATTCCAATTATTTAGGATGATTTAAGAGAGATCCAGTAGAGGCAAAGAGTTCATTAACCACATTCACTCATTTACTCAGCACTACTTACTGAGAACTTGTCATGTGCTAGCGGCTGGATTTACCATTCTTTAACCCAAGTGTTCTGGGAAAGGTGGAAGTAGATAGGTATACACACAACTGGATCATTATTTGAAATTTTGTTCAGTCTTATTTGGAGGTAATGAGGTAGTTTAATTATTTTATTTAAATTATGTTATTGCTTTGTCAATCTTAGTTTTCTCCTCCCCACTTCTTTTGTCTCATTTGGAAATGAAGGACTATTATAGACTCTTTATTTGCTATTAACTATGCCTAAATAATATAACTCCAGATGCAGCCATTCTATGTCAAATAGCTTAAGCAAATTGTTTTAATAGAAATAAAACCTCTCTCCAGCAAAAGACTTAGTTTTCATTTGTTTGGTTTTGTTTAGTTTTCACTCTTTAAAGTTTCAGTATTTGAGTGGTGAATTTAGTACGTG